TTTTTTTTTTTTTTTTTTTACATTAGACGGCTTAAATGTTGTTTTATTATTTTAATTCATGGGATTCCACTCTTTAATTAATCCATTTTTTGGAGTACCAAACTATCAATTATCATATTCACGTTATTGCTCTCTTATTCCAACTTCTCCAAAAGCTTTTGTGGGCACACTCACAATGCATTTTCTAACCCGTTGGAGATGGATGGATTAAAAGAAGCCGAGGTCTCTCGTTAGAAACTTGTACTTACCATTGAGAGTGACGCACTAAGACTAATTCGATGTCCGAAAATAAAATTTTTGTTTTGCACCTTTATTAAACAACATAAATTGCGGTACATGCTATTTGGTCTCTTGCTCTAACGTACTGAATTATGTTATTCAGCCTTGTTTGAGCTTCATTCGTTAAATTTTTTTTTTTTTCAAACCATTTTTTAATAAAATAATTTTGCTCGTAAACTCAAAATAATCTTCCAATTTTAATCGCACATTAAAAAAAATATAAAATTACTGATTCAAAATCTATTTTCTTAACACGGAATCATGCCAAAATAATTGTATTATTTTTTCGAGAAATTCTTATATACAAAAATAGAAGGAAAATCGTATGTTTTTACTTTATTAAAAAAAATTAACCGATTTGAGGGTGCCTGTTTATATTCCCCATCACTGAAATCCAAGACACTCGAGAAGAGGAGCAGAGGAGTGGAAGATTGGTGCCCCTCCCTCCCCCTCTCTCTCCATATCCATTTCTACCTGAAAATTCACAAAAACGTCGAGTCAGAGAAACCTGCCAAGAAATTTTCACTCTTTTTGTCTCTTTAATCGCTGTGGGTGTGTAGAAATGGCTGAATTTCGAGGGAAAAAGAAGAGATTGTCGATAAATCTTTCATTTCTTACACTCACTGATCATACAAAACCAAACGGGGCCAACAAATCTGTCAAGATATTTAAGGAGCCAGATGGTGTTGTTGGGCTTGGCATTCTTGCAGCTTTGAACGATCGAAATCTAGAACCAATCTTTATGAATTGTAGCAGAGATGCAGTTGTTGCAATTTCCCCCAAATCCTGGACGAACCCTACTCCAGTTTTGAGTAACAAAAATGTCAGTGATAACAAAAACAAGAAGCTTAGTGCTGGGGAAATGGAGCTGTGTGAGGAGTACACTTGTGTTATTTCACACGTGGGGGACAACTTGATCAAGAAAAGAGAGTACTTTGATGCTGATTTATTGACAAAAAATAATGGGTCTGAGAGGGTTTCAATTACTGGTGGTGAAGGTGGCGGTGTTGGTTTTTGGGTAAGTTCCGGGATGGTATCTGATTCTTCAGTGAGTCCTGGTGGCGAAACGGACGACTTTCAGACCGAGAATTTTCTGAATTCTTGCTTTCTTTGCAAGAAGATGCTTCATGGATTGGATATTTTCATGTACAGGTAAAATTTAGTTCTGAATATTTATTTTTTTGAATTACTTTTTCACTACTTGTGCACTTTTGTTTTGATTCATTTGGTTTGGAGGTTTATTTTGACTGATTAGTACGTTGATCTTTAATTATCTGTATTGGGAAGCCGATGATTTGGGTCGGAATGGTGGACTAATACCATAAAAAGGTACACCAATTGGTTTCCACACAAGATAGTTGAATTGATGGTAACAAGTCGTATTTAAGCTAGGATCATGGGTTCGAGTCACAACAACGTCGTGTTGAGGGAGGATTGTTGTGAGCAACAATTCTCCTCTTAAGCCCATCGATTGGGCCACTTAAACTATGGTGGTCGAATGCCATAAAAGGTTTCAACTTGCCCACACGAGACACCAATTAGTTTTTAGATGAGATAATTGAGAACCGAGTCTCACAGTGTTGTTTCAAATGGTTTAGGGTTCTAGTACTTTTTATGGGATTTCCAAGGTGAAACATAAAGGCCAATTCGTGAATAGAATGTATTTAGCTGAATCATGTGTTGCTGTTGATCCGGAGATCATGCTTTTAGATACGAGCTGATTGATATTGATCTCGCCGAGACTTCTTCAGATCGCGGTAATGATCGGTGCAGCACCTGTCGATTCTTTTTCCTATATGCTCCGTGAAAAATAAATCATATTCCATTATCTGAATTTCCAATTGTCGAAACATAGTAATAACATTGTCTGACCTAATGATACCTTTCACGGGGCCGATTATTGACATTTACCCGCAGTATTGTGAGGTTGTGATTTGTTTGTATCTGATAGCTTTACTTAAGCATAAGGTAAGTCAAAGATGTTTGGCTGCCTGTTCTTAAATTAGTTCTTATTTGCCAATCATAATTTTCATGTTAGTTTTATACTAACCAAACTTTGTTTTTCCTTCTACAAAGTAAGTCTCGACTTACTTTCTAGAAAAGTAAGTTTTAAGCACAATCAAACATGATCTAAATGAATTTTTCTTTCGTAGATATGCAATCATGTTGATTATGTGAGCCCTTTGTGGCTAGGCATAGTTGTTCAACTGGTCTTAGGTAATATGTAAAATGCTTTTGGTTTTTAAAGACATTTCTTGAAAACACCGTTTTTAACCTTTACATACATATGTAAACCTCGTGTGTCAGTAGAAAATGATTATCATTCAGCAAGTCGTTCTAATGTTTAAAAGGTGATGCTGGACGTGTTATTCTTTATGGGAAAATGCGTGTTTGTTTGTAAAGGGACTGTTGTCCTAAGTTCACTTATTTGAATGGCTGCAGTTTGCTTCATAAACTCGACCAAAGTACACGTCCTAGTACACTATATTGTTTTTTTGGGTTCTTTCAGGCAATATTACGGTGAAATTTAAACTTTCTTTCGACTTTTGAGGGAATTATATTATCATCTTATGGCAGGGGAGACAAGGCATTTTGTAGTGCAGAGTGTCGCTGCAAGCAAATTTCCATCGATGAATGCAAAGAGAAGTTGGGTGCTGGCATGAGAAACCCAAAGGAGTACTCCATCTCGCCTTGCTCTAGTACAATGCAATTTTTTGTGGGTGTTGCAGCAGCCTAGGTAGTTTTGTCATATCTTACATATATAAATGAATGTAAGGATGTTAGGAAAGGATTATAATCGAGTCCCAAATAAAAATTGTGATTTGCATCACGTATAATAAAAGTTGGATTTGAGCAAACTATGTCGGAATTTAAAGTGTAAAAAATAGTTCTTGCAAGGTGATAGATGGTTTTGGGAGGTGAGGTGAGGTGAAGTTATATGCTGCCTGTGACCAACATTTGGGTTCTTGGGACTATTTTGGAAATGCAGCCGTTTCCTTGTGTCTCTCCTAGCCCTCATATTACCTCGGGGCAACTCAAGAATCTCAAATTGTCAAGCAACTTGTAAGGAGCAATCAGTAATGGAGAAGGGCAGCTAGGGGGCTTCAACTACAGAAGCTAAGACATAACACGGCTGTGTGGGGATTAGACGTTATAATACAATGGGAAGCTTTCACAAAACAAGCTAGAAAGTTTTATTGTGAATGTACGAGTAGGATTGGACTCTTCGACAAGTGATGTAATTGTTGATCGCAACAAAAGTAGAATTTTGAATCTTCAAATAATTTGAATTGAGAACCTGAATTCCAATAGATCCAAGATCATTAATATAGATGTTCAAATTGCGCACAACTTTCGCGGGACTGGTAGCTAGAGGACAATTATCGATCCACATTTGACATTTATCTCCAACTCTATTGAAAGCCTGAATGTCAGATTGACGATTTCCGTCATATGGGACCCAAAACCTTTGCTTCTAAAGGTTAGGCACTCCATTATGTAAGGAAAATAACTCAGATAATTTTAAAAAGAATTTTCTCTACACCTTTACTCTTATTGCATTTGTACACAATGTTAAATTAAAATAGAAAAGGGAAAAGAAACACAAGGGTGCTAACAAAAATTCTTCAAAACCTATGGTGAAAATCACACTGCTGGCTTATCATAAATATTCAACAAGCTAATCGGTAGTCTACAGTTTCAGAGGTACAGTGAATTTGCAAACATTATCCCTCGGCGAAGGCTCTCACTAGCTGCTGTGAACTTGTTCTCTAAATCAGCTTCCCCGACAGCATTAGCAGCAGCTTTCAACTGGAAAAACCCGAAATGAGGAAAAAACGAAAAAAATAAACTGAATATGGGTATTATGATCCAACAGTCTTGAAACGCAAACTTTAAGTGCAGGTTTGGTATTTGGTATGGACTATTAGGTCGTACTAACAGTATAATAGATAACATTTTAGCTTTCTTTTCTATGTATTACTGTACACAACTGTCTAATTAACCTTGTAAATCGTCCCATAAGAATTATCTATTTGGTATGCACGGATTTATGGTAAAAGGGAAACAGCATTACAGAGTTGTCCAGTCATCTGTTGGCCTGAGGTAGAGAATACATTATAAAGGGACCAAAAATAGTCCTGGAGTAGAGGCACTCAACAATTCATGCATCCAATCCTAACATTTGCTAGAAAGGCGCGACGTTTATATTTTACTTTCTTCAAATCATTAAATGCATGTTAATCACCGATCGGAAAAAGGCTCCATTGAGTTGGTTCATATTACTATGCCTGTTTATTCACCTATTATAAACTTTTGCTCGAACGACAAATTCTTAGGATTGATGAAAATCGATTGGCTTACCTGATTTAAAAATTCATCCAGCCTTCTAGCTTGTCGTATAATGCTACCTTCAAAGATGTCTGTCTTTTCTGTAACTTCTTTAAAAGATTTTCCCTGAAAAAAGAAAGTTTAGAGGAACAATGAGTTTAAACATGATGACTACCAACATATTTTAGAATTCTAATTAAAAAGATGAATTGACTCAAAACCAAGCAATCGATTCAAGTTGTTTTCCCAAATAAAATGTACAAAAATCCTCTGAAAATAATCTTTATACCAAAAGATATAAACTTAGAGGCATCAAATCTTAACAAGTGTAGATTAACCGGCCATCTACTGAGAAGAAGAAAGGTACTATATTGACCTTTGACCACAAGTAGATCACATCCATCAAGTATGGTCTAACTGTTGCCTCCACATATTCCTCCACATTTACTTCGAGTCCGCATTCACGTTGTATCTGTGACAAAATTGACGTGTCATTTACCATGTCTGCAATACTTTTTCTCTCCGTTTGCAGATAGCCACAGAGATCAAAATTAAAGCAATCTACACATACACACACACTTGTGTATATTTAAAAAGCTGAACACACCTCTGCTATTCTTCTAGCGCTGTCTTGAAGCTGTTGCAGTGGTTTAGCAAGTTCAGCTTTTAATTCTATCTGGTCCCCTGTTTTATCTCCTGGAATGAAGCAACTTGCCAGAGCAGCAACTTGATGATGATCAAGATCATTAAAGGTACCTGCCAAAAATTTATTTATTCACAATCTCTATATGCACCAGTGATCAAATATTTTCTCTCCTTTCAGCCGAAAAAAAAGTCTAACCATTGATTTTTGGTGCAAAAGGTTACATGGAAATGACTATAAGCTCGTTTCCACAGGCCCAAAGCCCAAGAATACAATATTATAAGCTTAAACATTCGGCTTCATGAAGATTTCCCAAGGTTCAACTGAACATAAACAATCAAGAGTTTTGGCCTATACCACAATTTTTGTTACTTAACTAATCAAAAACTAGAAAGGGTTGAGTATTTACAGTTAGGAAATACATCAGATCTCAATCAACTGAATCACAATTCCGCACTAACAATTTTTAGCATGTAAGGAATAAAAGCAGATGTGATGAATGGTTAAAGTAAACTAACGTTCCATATTGGGACTGGTCCATAACATGAAAAATTAATCACTGCTCAACATTTATTTAAGTGCGGAAAATAAAGAAATAACAGCAGACACAAGTGTGAAAAATCAATGATAAGAAGGTTCACCATTGAACATCAATTCAGTAACAAGGAGCTCATCCCCTGTATCTATCAAACACGCTGCTCGTCCTTTCAACTGAACAACACCATCAGCATCAATATGACCCAGCTTTTTAAGAACCCGTGAGCGGTTCCTAAGTTCATCACGAAATTTTTGAAGCTGAACATAGAGAACAGGTAGCAATTGAATGAGGGCAAAACACAGAAGCTAATTTGCAAATATGCACATGCAGGTATGTATACGTATATGCATTCAGAGAAGCGTCCAACAAATACCTGTGAATCACGCATTTTTGACTTCAGCTGTTGAATTTCATGATTCACTTCCGCTTTTCTGTGGAAACTTCTAATCTGATGTTCATCTTGAGACTGCATAGCATAAATGTGAACGTAATAGAATTAAAGACAATAGGAACCTCTTGAGCTTCATGAAAATCTTACACACCTTACCTTTAAAAATCACACTAACCTTCCCTATTTTAGTTTTGAGTATTAAAAGCATGTTTGCAAAGAGTTTATAAACAATATAAATTATCAATATATAAAAAATGAGTGGTGGATAAGTGGGTAGTATCTATGGGCCTCTCGTAATGTGTAGGTATAAAGTGAGAGTGTTTATAAACCATTTATAAACATGGGCAAATATAGGCTTATAATCACCCCCACACCACTTTTTGAGCATATCTCATCTAAGATGAAATTGATATATATAAAATGCCCTTGTAAATCAAGGATCAAATTTTCAACAATTAGTTGCGATTCAATTTGTTCCCCTTAAATAATAAGCTAATAAAGATTTTAAGCATACACAAATCTGAATATGCAGCCTAGTGGAAATTTCAACTTAATTTGTTGAAGAGTTTGGTAATATATAAGTAAATAATTAATCTAAACATACATATTTAGACAAGTAATACCTCTAATAAACAAAATAAGTAACTTTATATTATTAAAATTTAATACGTCAAAGAGCTCTATATATAATGTGTCAATTTATATTCCTATAATTTTCTTTGAGCAAATTAACTACAATTTTTCATCTTTAGTTCACATGGACACTTATGTTATATTAACCTCATTTGGACGAGATATGGCTCCAAAGGTAGTCAAGGGGTGAATATGATACTCAAACCTAGAAATAAAGGAGGTTAGTGTGATTTTTTAAATGTGACGGGATGTATATGATATTGTCATAAAGGGGTTGCCTGATTATGTCTTGCAAAATTAAGTCAATAGCCTGTAGAGAACCAATTTACAGATGTTTCTATAAAGCTCACGTCCTCAATGGCCTAAATTGGGAAACTTCTAGCAACTAGCTGAAACAAATATTTTAGTGGGGAGAGGTTAAAGTTAATATTTTCTCAGACCTTATGCAGTGGGTGGGAAAATAATTTCTGTTCAAGTTCCTCAATCTGGTTAACCAGCTCAACAACCTCCGGATCTTCAATACCCATGTCCTGACAAAAAAGTACAAACGTTAGAAATATATATTGCCATGCCTCGTAAAGATATCGAGACATATATAGAAGTTTTTCATTGATATCGGAAATCTACGAAAAACCGCATTTTGACGTATGAAAAACATTATGCCTTCTGGCTCTGGAGATCATGAAAGACAAGGTAACTAAATGGGATAATGTACAAGCATGTCACATAAATAAAATTGCAATGCTAGTTGGTCTCTACCAGAAGAGGAAAGATTCAAGAAATTCAAATCATGTAGACCATGAAATGGACTGAGAGGGGCAGAGATGATAGTTGGGCTGACATTGCCTCTGGCAAATAAAAACAAATATAATCACGCGAGTGGTGCATCTTGCTGATAACTTACTTTTTTCTGCCTCTACTACTTTTTGATTCTTGTGTGTGGTTTGATGTACTTCTAAATTTGTTCACACTTAAAGCATGTTTGGCCAAGCTTAAAATTCAATTAAAATTGAAAATATAGCCGCTATTGGGTCTTACACTTCTAATAAAAGTCAACAATAACAGCTAATTTTTCAATTTTAATCCGATTTTAATCTTTACCGAACACGCCCTTAATTTTTAGTCTCAACTATGAATATGTGAAATTCTTTGATTTTAGGCTACTAATGAATAAACAAATACAAGCCTAAAATAGTTGCATCAATTTCGTTGATGATTTGGGTTCTGTGACACTTTATCAGGAAATAATAATGAATTAATAATAATTGAGAAGAGTTTTATTGCTGGATAACATATATCAACGCACTTAATAATTTCGCTATGATACCCAGATCCGAGGTTCAGATCAACTGTTGGACCATTATAGTAACATGATTCATAACTTTACAAAATCAAAAAGGAGGCTTCTTTTACAACATCAGATTAAGCAGAATAAAACAATGAGAAACGATTTTCACAAAATCCATATAAGAAAATAGCATCAATTAGGACACACTCAATATCAATGTAACAACTATATACCTTCGTAGGATTAAGCTTTGGAAAGCCCTGTGGAAAACGTTTTTCGAGCTCCTGAATGGCAAGCAGAACACTCTGTCTAGCTTCTATTGGACGTAAATCAGAAGGAACAGCAATCCTGAGCTTGCTGAGTGCAGAAATAAGAGGCAACTGAACAGGAACCTGAGAAAGAAATCAATGTGTATTAACTTCCTATCTCGTTATACATGCATGCTCCAGTCAGACTAAATTGCAATGCACAATAAGCTTTATGTCACAGAATTTTTCGTTCAAGGTGTTATCAACTTACCACATGCATTTCCCCCTTTTCTCCAGGACGAGGAGGGCATGGTTTGGGTCGAGAACCATTTTCACTTGAGCCAAAAGAGCATTGAAGCAAAGTGTCCACAATATAACTGCTACCACGGGAAGAAGCAAGCGCAGCAGGCAAAGAACCCAATGCAGAAGAGGGCTTTTTCACCACATGGACTACAACTCCCCAACCCCAGTCTGTGCCACCTTCCCTTACTTTAACCTGCAGTTTGACGGAAGTAGCTCAGACTCAAGAGAGCTCATGAAAGTGAAACCAGAAGCAACACGTAAAAGTGAAGCCAAATTCAACCCAAGGAGAGGGAGCAAAAGGGTTTAAGCATCATTACATCCAAAATCAGTAAATAAAACAGATTAACTTCTGTTCATGGCCTCTCTTCTTATACCTCTCCTTCAACACCACATAGAAGTAGAATACGAGCAGCAAAGGAGGAAAGAGTCACAATGAACTAAGAAAAAACACATTCCCCTTTGAGCACTAAACATTCCTCATATTATCAGGGCAAAACGTCAAATATGTAAAGTGAAATGAACTGCCGCATATAACAGAAAACTATACACAGAGAAGAAGTATAAGAGAAATAGCAGGGAGTCACAAATAAGGAAAGAATGACATTTACACTGATCAAATGAACAGAGGTTACAATAGGAAGTAGACAGGATTCAGGTTATTCTAGATTGCAGCATAACATATACAAACACCTATCTTCTCACTTACCAGCCTACCAGATTGAAGGAAATAGAGAACTCTTTCAGGCCGCATCATTTCTGCCATCATTTTCTTTTCAACTTGGGCTATCTCAAGCTGTAGCTTATGATATTCGGTAACCTCAGCCTTAACATTTAACAAGGAAATTTTAGCTTTAAATCATATCTACACAATGCATTGCAAGCATAACTAATCAGAATAAGTAGACCTCTCCAGAAGAATCAAGCACTGCAGCCTCCTCTTCCAGCTTGGACACCTTTTTCCCAATGTCAGGTAATGCCTAAAGAAGAAGTTGCACATTATCAACCAAGATCCAAAAATATATGAAAATATATAAGGAATAGTTTTCAGGCAGGGAAAACCTTCTCATACTGAAATTGGTGAAAGGAATTCCTGATAACATGCTCAGCAGTAAATTGTCCCTCAGCACGGCTCATTAAATTCAGTATTGAGTAGTAGCTTAGCCTGAAAGTACTGACCAATGGAGCTGGTTTGCCCAGGACCATGTCCTTAAGGGTATNGGGGGGGGGGGGGGGGGGGGGGGGGGGGGGGGGGGGGGGGGGGGGGGGGGGGGGGGGGGGGGGGAATGTTCAGTGACTATTATAAAGTTTGGTTAAATCACTTCTTCTAAGATACTCGAATAGCAAATTCCGTGTCCTGGAGGTCACATATGATTAGCTGTCGGTTTGCAGCATTATCATAATTCTTGATCTCGCAAAATCTCACATGATGCATGCTACTTAGACTCGCCTATTCCAGTTCAAAGGGTCACTGCAGTAGCTGCACTTATTCATACAGTAGTGAGTTTTGACATTTGTTGTCATTCCTATATGTCTTGCCTTTTTCTGTCCATATTTTAATCACAGAATTTAAGGAATAGCAGTTATCAGCAGTGTAGTCTTGATAAGAGTGATTATACAGGTCCAGTTAGGCATTAGATTTGTTCCATAACTTCATCAATAGTGAGGCAATTTCCTCAATCACATCAAAGGAGAATTTACTCTAGAATTTATTTTTCCCAGTGCTTAAACTGAGACAAAGGAAGCCAGCAATAAAATTACCTTTTCATCAATCATTATGATACAAATACCCCGCTCATCTTTACCACGACGTCCAGCTCTACCACTCATCTATTGGAAGGAATAACAATGTCAAAAAATCATAAACAGAAAGTAGGTGTAATGTGTAGCTCTATTTTTAGTAATAATGTTGCAACAACTACTCACCTGGATGTACTCACCAGATCCAATATATCGATGACTATCACCATCCCACTTTTTCACACTCGTGAAAACCACAGTTTTTGCAGGCATGTTCAACCCCATGGCAAACTGTTATGAATTAAAATCAACAGTTAATGAATGCAGTAATTTTTTTTTACTGAAGGTGCGATTATACACATTACATATTCTTATTAAATACGTATTACAATACCAGTTAGTATGAGATTGTTGTAAGACCTTTAGTAAGTCTCAGATTATTCATAAGGATGATCAATAAATGTTCAAAATTTAATATATGAAAGCATTTTTGTAAACAGCAGTACCGTTTCTGTGGCAAATAGAGCCTTAACCAGCCCTTCTTGAAACAGAAGTTCCACAAGTTCTTTGATAAGAGGAAGCAAGCCAGAATGGTGAACAGCAATGCCTCTCTGAAGCAATGGCAACATTAGTTTAATAGCAGGTAAGTCCCTATCCTCCTCATTTAAGCAAAGAATTGCATTTTTGAACACTTGATCGACAACTTCCTTCTCCTCTTGGGAATTAAAATCAAGCTTGGACATTGACATGGCATGTTCTTCACACTCTCTTCTACTAAAACTAAATATTATCACTGGCTGGAATTTCCGCTCCATAATCATCTGAAATTCAGCAAATTTTCAATTTGAGCGCTATGAAGCCATGCAATTTTTACACCGCACACCTTGCATAGAAGCAAAGAAGGTGAAAGAGAGAACAGTAAATGACAAAGTAAATTAATCACTGATGAAGATGGCTGCAACTTGGTGCATTCAAAGGTGAATAACTTTTTAATATATGATTTTCTATACATGCAGATATAGGTAAGACTACCGGTGCAAATAAAATGGAAAGTGACAAGTGGTTATACACCTTAACAATTTTGTATATGTCAGAACCACCAAAAGTGGTCCCACCTTTCGCAATTCTCGCTCTGCCATTTCCACTCTTGTTCCCATCAGCTAGATTTTGCTTCACGAAAGTGTCCTGCAGTTTCAAAAAATTGTCCTCCCTGAACTGCTCATTCTCATCAACAACAAGATACAGACCTGAGCCGCCCATGGGGAAAACATAATGTTGCAGGGGTGTTGGCCGAAAATCTGTATAAACCACGTGACATGGCTGTTTGTGTATATTACATATCCATTCAGCAAACTCAGTAGCATTCGACATTGTTGCTGAAAGGAAAACCATTTTAATAGCAGGGGGCAAGAAAATGATACTTTCTTCCCAAACAACACCTCTTTCACGATCTTTCATGTAATGTATCTCATCAAATATGACCCAAGCAACTTCCTTCAACACCTCAGAACCCCTATAAAGCATTCCCCTAAGAATTTCCGTTGTCATTACCAAACAACTTGCGTTGGGTGAAAGTGTCACATCGCCTGTCATCAACCCAACATCAGAAAACTCCTGGCTCAACTCTCTGTACTTCTGATTGCTCAAAGCTTTTAATGGAGAAGTATATAAAACCCTTTGCTTATCCCTGAAGGCCATGGCAATCGCATATTCAGCAACTGCAGTTTTGCCTGCTGAAGTGTGTGCTGAAACCAAAACCGACTCGTTTCTTTCCAAACATGCCACAGAAACTTCCTGAAATGGATCGAGCTTGAATGGGTACGTTTTTGCCCTTTCCCCATTGAAAATGGGATCTGAGAGAGTCCCGTGAACTGATTCATCCTTATTTGAAGAATACCCACTCGAAACTGCCACCTCGTGCACACATGTTCGTGCTAAGTTACGCTTCTTTGACAATGATTCTTGAGAAGTAACTTCTTCTTTGCCCTCCAAATTTTCTTCCGGTTGTTTCCTTTTCACGTGTGAGGGAGACTCGTCCATTTCTCACTTCCTATAGGCTGAACTTCCAACTTCAATTCCCTAATTTTAGTTCTATCAGTTTATAAAGATACTCTCCCCAATCTGCCACAAATAACCAGAAAAAGTAAGAATTTTTTTTCTTGCTGAGAACCAAACAGCACATTTGCCTCTTTTGAATATTTTTCCATTTCAGCTCATGCATCCCCTAAAATATATACGTAAAGCATCTATGTTCTAAAGGCAAGGAGAATGCCATTAACAACCACATTAAAAATTCAAGATTTAAAGCATGTGTTTACAAAATAAATCCGGTAATTACCTCCAAAATTTGTGATGAAGAAGACGAATTATCAACTCCGCGACACAAGATAAAACCAGTGTAGTGTTTTTCCCTCTCAATTTGTTCAGTGCAAATGTGCAATACCTAGAAAAACCCCATAGCCGCTACGCTTGAATTGTACCCTTCTTTTGCTCCTTGAACGGGCCTCTATAATAATTGGATTTGGTTGGTTTTATAAAGTTGATTGGGCCCAACAACGTCCGTTTAAAGAAAAAGCCCCTATTTATAAAAATATTTTCAAGAATACGGCCATTCTCTCCAATTTTACCCGCCTTTTCAATTCCAAAAAAAAATATATATATATATATATACACACACACATAAATAGAAATCGAACACTTGTTTCCATTTTCGAAACTAGGCTATTAACTAAATCGCCATCCATTTTCCATCTAGCAAAATGACTCCTTCACGCCTTATTTCCATTTTCGATGCACGCTGCATGCCTTGTATTCCCAGAATGAAGATTAACTTACCAACCTAAATCTTTGAAACGAGTCAATAGCACAAATGCATAGGCCAATAAATCATTCGGAAGCAGATCAATCTCTACCTCTTCACCTCCATCTCCATCTCCACCCCATATCATCTTATTCATTTTCCTTAATGTGATTGAAACTAAGATCCATCTTCTGTGGATAAAAGAAAAGGTTCGTAGATGTTTTAAACTAGTAAATACGTAGATAAAAATAAGAGAGGGTCATAATCCGAGAGGAGAAATCGAGACATGTTGTGGTCATCTTTTTGTCACAATGTAACTCTTTCTTCATTCAAAACTTCAAATTAAACAATAATTTACATTATAGTTATAAAAATTTATACTCATTATTTTTTTCTAGATTCATTTTCAACCTTACATTTCATTGGACCCACGACTTTTTAACATCACATTCTCATTAAAAAATAATAATAAATCTAGAATATTCTGTGGTTGTGATTTGTTCATAGAAGATGGCTTTACTTAAGCATCAACTAAGTCAAAGCTCAATACTTTGGAGAATGTTTGGCAGTGTTTAATACTCATATGTCAACAGAAAACGATAATGTCACTCGGCAACTTGTTCTAATGTTTAGAAGTTGATGCTAGACGTGACTTTCTTCTTGTTCTTTGATTGAAAATGCATATTTGTTATCCTATTTCCAATCGTTTGAATTCCGGGAATTGGACTTCTGGTGTCTTTGCTCTCTCACTATATTGTTTATCGGGTTCTTTCAGGCAATTTTATCGTGAAATTTAAATTTTCTTTCGATTTTCTTTGGAAAATTATATTATTATCTATATTACTTCATGGCAGTGATATTGCAGGGGAGATAAGGCATTTTATAGTGCATAGTGTTGCTTCGAGCAAATTTCTATCAATGAACGCAAAGAAAAGTTTGGTGCTGGCATGAGGAACCCAATGGAGCACTCGGTCTCTCCTTGCTCTCTGGTACAATGCAGTTTTTTGTGGGTGTTGCGGTAGCTTAGGTAGTTTTATTGTATTTACATATATAAATGAATAGAAGAGTGTTAGAAAAGGGTTATGATATGCGTACTCAAAAAAATTGTGATTCGTGGAATGAAAGTTGGATTTGAGCAAATTTTGCCGGAATTTAGAGTGCTAAAAATAGTTCCTAGAAGGTGATAGATGATTTTGGGAGGTTGGCGAAGTTAAATGCTTTGATGTGGCCAACATTTTCATATCATCATTTCATTTATCGAGATTTTGGAAACATGAAAACATGACCTTTTCACTTGTGACTCTCCTCCTAATCCTCATATTACTTTGGAGCAACTCAAGAATCTAAAACTGTCGAGTAACTTCTAAGGAGCAATCCACCATGGAGAGGGGCCATAGGGGCGGGCTCAAGTACAAAGGGAGACGAGACATAACATGGCAGGGTGGGGGACGTGATGATGTCGAGCTCTCGCAAACACAAGCACGAGACATAACATGGCAAGGTGGGGGACGTGATGATGTCGAGCTCTCGCAAACACAAGCAAGAAAATTTTATTGCGAATGTATAATTTTTGCCAAGCATAAATGGAGAACGTAGGGTTAGACTCTTTAACTTTTCAGATGATATGATTATGAGTCTTCAACATTCAAAAGTGATATTTAGTCATTGTTTTGTCCCAATTTTTTTAAACTCATTTTCAATCGTATATTTTATAGAATCCACAACTTTTATCAAAATATAGGAACTCATTGTTTGAGCCCCATTTTTTTCTTAAATACATTTTTAAACAGTGTTTTGACCACAATTCAACCACACATTCTTTAATAAAATAATATTATACACAAACTAAAATCTTTTCCTTATTTTTTAAACACATTTTCATCAATACATTATTTAAAAATGCAATTTTTTGACAAAAATGGGGCTCGAACAAGCCATCAAAATCTATTTTTTAGCCAAACCAAACATAGGCTTAAATTTATGAATATGAATCTCCAATTGACCAAAATTATAAATATAGATGTTCAAATTGTGCACGGCTTTCACGTGACTTGTAGCTAGATGACAAAAATTCCAATTCATTTAATATTTATTTTCAATTTAACTAAAAGATGTCTGCATTTCGAACGTCCAGTTGATGATTTTTGTCACTTCAGACTCAAAACCCTACTTTCAAAGATTGGCGAATCCAACCCTAATCTTCCCAAGGAAAATAATTTAGGTAAGTTCGGAAGAATTTATCTTCCCATTCACTCTCTTGTTCACCGGTTACCATTTGCTCACTCCAATCCCTTGAAAAAAAAACATATATATAATCAACATATATCTATTAAGGTTAAACATTAATTATTCACTGTGGTATACTCATGCATGACACTATATTACGTGAATGCAAAGTAAGGTCATATGCACACAATGTCAATAATTGGACAACTATTTTCATGTCAAAAGATACGTAGAAGGTGCAATAGACATTAGTTACCATAATGTCATTTTGGAAATGCTAAATTATACGTTTCATCATCAATCTTTACCCATGGTTACTCTTTTCCCCCTTTTTTTAAGGCTTCTAATTCCAACTTTTTATTAATTAATGCACCTCGTCCCTAGTAATGATTCTCATCCCAAAAATTCTGTATGTTACACATAACTTAATCAAATTTTAAAAAAGGGATAATTTGTAGTAATAAAAAAATAAATGAAATCCTATCTTCAATCAACTAAAAGGTTTTGTTTTTTGGGAAATTTGGCCAAATA